AAACTAGTGTGAGTAACTTCAGTGTCTCACTTACAATCTGTGCATGGCATTGTTGTTGTTTAAGCGAAGTATTATCCTATTATTATCCCATTCGGTGCTAACAGATGTATGAAGTTGTCAGCCATTACAATGTTTTCAACATGAAATACAGAAGTTACTATTTAGTTCTATGTTCATGTTTTCTTTTTCAAAGTGTCATGTGGCAGCTGTGTAGAGTGATGTCTAGGTGAAAGAGTGATGTTAACAAATCCATCATCAGAGCTCAGGAGAAGAAAACCCAGCTAGATCAATATACAACAAGTCAAGGATGTCTCTGGATCCATTTACGCTTGTCATTTGAATGTGTGCTTCCATATTCACACTTGCTATTTTAGATGCATACGTGCATTCTCACTGACGAGTATGACAACATGTAATGAAATATAAGTCCCTGGATGATGTACTCAAACGGTCAAAAAGTTTCAAATAAAATAATGGACATGTTCCAATTTGTAAAAACGGCAGCCAAGGAAGTAGAAGAAGGACTTATGTACTCAAGCAGGGTTAGGGTTAGGGTTGTGATTAGGGTTAGGGTTTTGATTAGGGTTAGGGTTAGGGTTTTGATTAGGGTTAGGGTTGTGATTAGGGTTAGGGTTAGGGTTGTGATTAGGGTTAGGGTTAGGGATGAGAAGCCATTGGAGATCAAGATATTCTTGAATAACTTTTTTTCTGAAGGTCATAGAGACTTGGAGTTGGTTCCATCTCAACTAATGCAGGTATGCCCCATCCATTGGTAACACCCCCGAGCTTCTATGACCTTCGGAAGGGGTCAAACCACCAAATCTAAAAAAAAAAGTACAAGATATTTTTGAATAACTTTTCTTCTGAAGGTCAAAGAGACTTGGGCATTTCATGATTAATAAAGGGTAGCCTGTCACACACTCATACCACATTTCAGCACGTTTCAAGCAAGCAGCACGGAGTTATTCTAATTAATCCCTAATATGGGTTAGGGTTGCAATTAGGGTTAGGGTTAGGGTTGCTATTAAGGTTAGGGTTAGGGATGAATACACATTGGAGATCAAGATATTCTTCAATAACGTTTTTTCTTTAGGTCATAGACACTTGGAAGTTGCTTCGAGCTGAACTAATGTGGGGATGCCCGATCCATTGGTACCACCCCCGAGCTTCTACGACCTTTGGAAGGGGAAGGGTTAGGGTTGTGATTAGTGTTTGATTTTTGGGTTGTGATTAGGGTTAGGGTTAGGGATGAAAACCTATAGGAGTTCAAGATATTCTTCAATAACTTTTTTTCTG